TTTTCACTCCATCTTCTAGGCCAGAACTTCCTTTTTCAATGTGACAGCTGATTTTTTAATGCCAAGTGATAGATATATAGAAAGTTCAATTTCAAGGCCTAAGGCCTAAAATAAGAATTCACCTATCTCTAGTGACTAAAATTCAGCCTTTCTGAACATCTCTCTTATATAAAATGTGATTTGCTTCTTTAAATGTAAATTTAAATTACTGACTTACATGTATATGTTTATCTATAATTATTGACTCTATATTTATTTTGAACTAATTTCTAAAGGCACCTCAATGATAGTAATGAAAGGAGCACTTAAAAAGTATACAGTCTTGTTAGCAGCCATGTTAGGCCAGTATTTCCTGCTTAATCCCTGGAGCTGGGAAAGAAGACATTATTTAATATTCTTTTATCATTCTCCATCTTTGTACCAGATGTTTTGCTAGGGGCTTGGAGGAAGAGAAAGGGTCACCACATGACCAGGAATTCTCCCACCCTGAGACAATAACTCTAACCACATTGATAACCTCCTATATTTTTTTCTGCACAGTTTTTAATAAAAATGATATTTTTATTAAAAACAATGATTACAGAAGCAATGCCCGGTCACAATAGAAGGGAGCTCAAATGGTACAGGGAGCATACAACTGAAAACTAAAAGGTTCCCCCCCTCAAACTCCCAGCACCTCTGTTACTGAACCCTAGACCAGTGCACTCAAAGCAGTTGCTCTGAAGGGTCCCACCTTTGTTCTGCTGGTAGTTAACCTTACAATGTCTATAAAATAGTCCTCACTCTAATTTTGGATTTATTTGCTTTAAACACTAGCTGTTGAACTTCTGGCTACAAATGCAAAGAAATCATTTATCATTATATGAGCCTTCTCATTTTTAAAACTGTTCTTACTTATACCTTTCCAAAAGCTCTCAACATCTGTCCTGCTGCAATTACCTCGTTCTTTTTCACAGGCTAGTTTACAAATGGAAGGAGCCAATAATGAGCATTTATGTTATTCGGATTTGTGTATATGTTACAGCCACATTCACTTGATAGCTTAAAAAGTATGTAATCCTTAAGGTGTTAGACTGTCAGAGGGGCCCCTCCTAAGTACCCCACTCTAAAATTCTCATTTCTGTTTAGCTTTTTGCACTTCTCCTATTCCCTGTATCTCGTGTTTTCCTCTCAAATGCTCTTTTCCCTTTTTGGTCTCTATCTCTCTTTGAGCAGTTTATTCTTGAGAACTCAGAGTTCTTGAAAGTCTAAGATAAGCTTTATTTTGTCTTCATATCTGTTTTGTAAGGTTAAATGGATATAAACTCCCAGATTCTAAATGTAAAGGAATTGCTCCCTTATCTTCTAGTTTGGCATTCATTACAGATGAGAAGTTTGGTGGCACCTTATTCTCATTCTTTTCTTAGGAATTTTTTTTTCTCTCTCTGAAGTGTTGAGGATTTTTTTTTAAATTTCTGTCATTTCTAAGATTTTACCGGTGTGTTTCTAGGTATAAATCTTGTCTTACTAATCTTACTTGGCATTTTGTGGAAACTTTCCATTTGAAGATGCATGTCTTATTTCTTTTATGATATTACTACTTTTCTTGTGTCTGGCTTCTGTACTTCCTATTGGGTGGGATTTAAACTCTCAGAAACTGACTGTGTTAAAATTATTTGTGTGTATTTTTCATTTCTTGATCTGTTTACTGGGCTCAGAGAATTCTTTGAATTTATCTTTCAGATTAAAACCGTGGTCCTCCACAGTATCTAATTTTAATCCCGCCTATACAGTGAATTTTTTCAGTCATCATATTTTTAATTTACAAGATGTTCTCCAGCTGTTCCTTTTTTTGGTAGGCTATTTTATTTTAAGGCTGCAGTGTTCTTAATCTCTCTGAGGACACCAAATAGAGGTTTTGTTTGGTTTAACTCTGTTTAGTGAATTATATTTTTATTCATTTCTTCTGTGGTAGTTGTTTTGTTGGTTGTTCTCAGTCCTTCTCTATCCTGTCAGTTTTCCTCAACTCTTCTTGATTTTTCTTTAATTTTGGGTGCTGTCCTTGTGTCTGTATGGAACACTGCTAAAGATGTTCTTAACACCAGCCTGTGCTCCCTCAGCAGCTGGACAGGCCTCTTGCCCTCACGGATCCCTCTACTAACTCTAGACACTTTGTGGTGACCTCGTGTTTTCACACAAGATATGTTGTGACCATTTTCCAATGTCCTAAGTTCAAACATGCCACTTCTACGGCTGCAGAGTTTTCCATCCTACTATTACTGCTCTTTTTTTTCCTTTAGGCATTTGATTTTTCCAGGTTTTCACTGGATAACATTAAGGAATATATTTGTACATGCATTTTTCATACCTCTGCAATAATTTCCATAGTGTTAATTACTGGAGTGAAATTTATGGGTTGTGAAAGACTTCTGACAGACATCACTAAATTGCGTTTTGGGAGATTGTATCAGGTCTCAGTCTCACATAAGAATACCCTTTTCCCTTCACTCTCGATAGTGGTAGATGTCATAGTTCCTTTTCATCTCTTTGCTAATTGATGTATATAAAATGGCATTTTATTCCTGTTTGAACTTGCATAATATGTGAATATTTTCATGAGTTTTTGTGTGTGTGAATTGACTCTTCCTGTCCTTTGCCTGCCTCTGTTGAAATGTTCACCATTTTGTTTTGCTTTATGCAAGTATTTGTTTTAGGAATATTAACCCTTTTTTATACATGTTGCAAATATTTGTGTCCATTTATGGTTTGCCTTTAACTTTTTCCTATGTGTTTTTTGCTGTACACATGTTTTGGTGCTAAGTTTATAAAGCCACCCATCTACCTATCCAGAGATTAAATTTCATTTATACCTCTTGGTATATTTATGGTTTCTTCTTTTACATAAATTTATTTTGGAATATGGTTTGAGTAGGGGCACGTCTCTTTTGTTTTGTTTTGTTTTGTTTTGTTTTGTTTTCAAAATAACCACCTAGCTGGCATTTTTTTTTTTGTGGATTGATCATTCATCCTTTCCTCCCTTCCTCATTAAAAATCTCTCCCTTGTCACATACTAAATGTTTTATATGTGTATGTATCTGCCTAAAAATAACTTCCCAAGAGCATTCTACAGTTCATGAAACTTCTAGCCAGACCCCTTTGTTACCCTACTGTTTCTAGAAAATACTTAAAATATTGTATGAAAATCTTAGTGCTTGCTTGTTACTCTAATTCTTGAGACTCAAAGCCCCCCCCCCCACGTTGGCCTTATCAGAGCACTTTGTTATCAGCCAAAGGTTCATTGTTTTTGTCAGCTTGCAACATATAGGGAGAAAAAGCAACTGTGTTAAATGGGGTCAAACATTACAATTCTGGAGAGTTGAGTAGTTTCAGAGATAGAAAAGTTTAACCTTTGTGGTGGGGAGAAATATTATTAAACATTGAAAATTGATATAAATAACAGTGTTTGAACTTTAAGGAAGTAACCAGAATGCTCATAAGTTAGCAACATTTCAAAAGTTCTATTTTATTGTTACTGATTTTAAAATGGATAAAATTAAAGCACTATATATATATATATATATATATATATAAACCATATATATGTAAACCATATATGTTATATAAATATATATGTATATTTCTCTTTTTTTTTAAATTTTTAAGATTTTATTTATTTATTTGAGAGAGAGCATGAGAGGGGAGAAGGTCAGAGGGAGAAGCAGACTTCCCATGGAGCTGGGAGGCCGATGCGGGACTTGATCCCGGGACTCCAGGATCATGACCTGAGCTGAAGGCAGTTGCTTAACCAACTGAGCCACCCAGGGGCCCTGTATGGATATTTCTATATAACCCTATCTATGGTAGAGTTATCCTAGATGGAGTTACATACAGTTTCTAAATGGCACTTATTCCTGGAGTAGTTCTCCTAAGGGTCTGCCAATCTGTGGGAAAAACAATGTACTCCATCTTCCCTGCCCAGTACAAGGCTCCAGCCCAGAGATGGTTAAGGCTGGATTTCACCATGACATTCTCCAGAAAGAGAAGGTACATTATGCTGCTGTAGGTCACATGTGAACTATTGGAGAAAAACTACATTGATGAAGGTATTTTGCTAAGAAAATAGTTAACCAGAACTCACAAAGCTGGTTAGCGGGTCGAAAACCTGAATTCTGAGTTTTGCTATTAACTGCATGACCTTGAGTGAGTATTGCTTAATGATTCTCCCCCACATACACTTTTTTTCTCCCAGAATCCTTTTAGACTAAATAGACATTTCCCCAAATATGTTCTGTAGACCATTATTGCCATGAGGTGCTCTGGGAGTTTTAGGGGTCCACAGTGAAATGAGTTAGAGAAATGCTGTATAGTAAATCCTTCTCTAGAAAATACACAATGTGCAGTATAGTATTAAAGGATGGTGGAAATCTTATAGGAAAGAAACCCTTACATCTTTTGCACCCATTTCTTGACACCTCTAAGAACTGTGTTCCATGAAGTCCACTTTAGGAACCTGTTTCAGGTGTCTGAGATTACTAAACATCTTTCATCCTAATAAAAAGTTTTAGCTTATATAAATAAATTATTTCAGGTGGTACTGTAATTTGTAAAACACTGTGGAATCTTGTTAAGGAAATACTAGGGAAAAAAACCCTTTAATTCTGTAATTTTCTAGTACTCATGGATTTTTAAACACAACGACACAGAGAAGCATTATTTTCCCTTGGAATACCAAAACTTTGGTTTGGGATGATTGCCCAGAAGGTAGGGTCAGAGGTTTCCCTACTTTTTGGGAGCTCTGTCCTGGACCTCAGGCTCTATCCACAATGTTTCTACAGGGTGCACTTTGACGTTAGGCACTCTTTTATATCCAACACATGCTTTCTTTTTTTAATATGATTTCAGCTGTTATTGGCACACAGTATATAGGCCCTCAGGGATCCTTTATTTTTCATAAAGTAATACTTGGCTTCCTAATAATAAAATTCAGAGGAAAAATCAAGGTGTCTTCATCTTTTTTGTAGGATGGGAGCGGCAGATAATATATATAAAGGACAGAGTACCTTTATGGAAGAGCTGACTGACACTGCAGAAATAATAAGACAAGCAACATCCCAGTCCTTGGTTATCTTGGATGAATTGGGAAGAGGGACGAGCACCCATGATGGAATCGCCATTGCTTATGCTACACTCGAGCATTTTATTAGAGATGTGAGTATCTTGCACAGCTTTTTGTATGTGAATGGTGCATAGCATATAAATTGTTTTTCTGGTCAGCTTCTAAATATTCAAAATGATCAGGGATGCCTGGGTGGCTCAGTTGTTACGTGGCTGCCTTCGGCTCAGGTCATGATCCCGGGGTCCTGGGATCGAGCCCCGAGTCGGGCTCTCTGCTCAGCAGGAAGCCTGCTTCTCCCTCTCCCACTTCCCCTGCTTGTATTCCCTTTCTCACTGTCTCTGTTTCTTTCTGTGTCAAATAAATAATTAAAATCTGTTTTTAAAAAATGATCTTTATTATAAGTGACCCTGTACCTGCAATTGGCCATTAAAACACTCTACTTTGAACTTAGATGGATTGGCCCTACATCATGTCTATAATTCTTTGATGTGTCTTCTTTGCTTTTGCTGAAACAGAGTAAACCTGGTCAGTAGGATAAAGGCCTCTCTGGCAGTATTTCCCCCCAGAACTGTTTCTCATTATCCTTGGCAAACTCTGAATTAAAAGCAGGGACACCCCCCCTCAACTTGCAACCCAGTCCTTAAGGAAAGAACAAAAAGGAGATAGAGCCATTTTAACCTATGAAATCCTTTTTTGAGCAATATCCTACAGGACCTTGGTAGAAGACGTTTAATCTCATGTCTTTGTGTCTTTCTTTCACTCTTTGAAGGCATATCTGTTTTTTCCAGAGGGCAGGTCTGAGCCTCTTGGTGAGAAGTTTTGTTTGTGTTAAATGCTCCATCCTTGTCCTCTCCATCAAGCTCCCCCCCTTTATTAATGCTCTCTCTCTTTGTTCATTCTCGTCTCTCCTCTCCCTTCTCTCCTTCTTGGCACCTGTCCAGAACCTTGTCTGGTCTTCGGTTTTTCTTTTAGTATTTTGTTCTCTGTTTTTTAAATTCTTTCCTGTCGGTCTTTCCTCCCTTTTCATTTCTTCTTCTCTTCCTTACATAACCAGTAAAAGCATATTTTTTACTCCTATTCCTTTACACAGCACAGGATGCAAAAATAACTCCCCTTTTCTTTAAACTTCTGTGGGCCTGTTTTTTGTTTGAACATTTAGTTAGATTACATAGTTAACGGTGGCATGTTTTCCACTTTAAAATAAATACTTTTAATTTTTCTTAAAAAAATTCTTTATTTGCAAGAAAAGCTCAGGAACATCTCTTTAATTATCGTAGAAACTGCATATCACAGGTTCAGGAAAGTCCTGTCACTGCCTCCCAAACACATTCTAAACATTGATTTAAGAACCTTCAGGAACGAATCATGACAGACTGAATTTGACAGCCCCCTCTGAGCTTGATTTCATTGCTCCAAGTGCTTATCAATTACTGTGACACATAACAAATTATCCCAAGACTAAGTGACTTAAAACAGCAGTAATCATCTGTTAGATCTCTCAGGGGTCTGGAGGTAAGGAATTTGGGAGCACCTTAGCTGGGTGGTTTTGGCTCAGGCTCTCTCCTGAGGTTGTGGTCAGGGAGTCATCTGAAGACTTAATTGGGGCTGGAGGACCCTTTCCAATGTGGCTCGCTCGCTGCTGGCAAATTAGTGCTGGCAGTTGCCCAGGGCTCTCATTTCCTTTCTCTGTGAACCTCTTTCCATGGGGCCGTTCGAATATGAGTGGCTTCTGGCAGCTCCCAGAAGAACCATTCCAAGTGGCCCGAGTATTTTATGCATTTATGACCTAGCTTCACAAGCCACACACTGTCACTACCATCATATGCTGTTGAGCACAAGGGCCAGCCTTGATTCACTATGGGAAGGGGCTGCTCAAGAACACGAGCATTGGGAGGCCATGTTGGAGGCTGGCTACCAAAAGCAGTTTGGCGATATGTTAAAGATCCCTTTAGGAACCCTCAGGAACAAATCATGACAATTAAATTTGTCACTTCTCTTTTCATTGCTTCTATAGCAGCTTTTTGATGTTTTAAATGTTAATGAAGAAAGTGTTATTTTTAGGTAAAATTTATGTTAGAGGTAAGTCACTGGAGAGGATTCTTCAGGAGCAAAGAGTCTCTACCCTTTTTTATGGATGAAAATCTTCATTTTCTTGGTGTCTTTTGATTGCTGGGATGGGGAAGAGAGAGCAGAGAGGAGGAATGGGGAAGCTCTGTGTAGCTGCTGTGAGCTGAAAATGGCCTTGAGGAGAGCAGTGTTATGACCCAAACCCTTAGGTCTTCTGGCAGCAAATGCATGTCACCTCAGGGAAGGGGCATCATGGAGACAGCTGGTCCACAGATACTTTGGGGCAGATTCTAAGAGCAGCTCATCAAAGAAATCTTGCCTTAATAGGTTTATTGTAATTGTTATAAGAGAGAAGGCACATGTTCTCTCTTTTAATGAGGTGAATGGCAGATGAATCAAAACTGAAGTTTTTTGATTTAATCACCCCCTTCTGCTGACTTTTATCTTTTTGTAAAAAAGATTATTTATTTATTTGAGAAAGAGAGAAAGAATGTGTGAACGGTGGGGTAGGGGCAGAGAGAGACTCCCCAAGCAGACTCCCCGCTAAGCACAGAGCTCATTGCGGGACTTGATCCCAGGACCCTGACATCGTGACCTGAGCCAGAATCAAGAGTTGGCTGTTTAACTGACTGAGCACCCAGGCACCTCTTCTGCCAATTTTTAGATCAAGATTTGGTGTAAGCTTCTTTTAAGATTTAAGAAATAAGGGATTCCAAAAATACATAATAATGTACACTTTAAAATAATGCTTATTAAGGAATCCATAAATGCATATGAGTACTAACAAAACAAAAATAAATTTCAAAATGGCAGAGGTAGGGTAGGGAGAAAAGAAAGCTCTTCTTTACAGAATGCCAACTAATAAATACAGAGAGAATTTTTTAAAATCAGTATTTACTAGTCACCGCATCATCAGGCAACAATGATCCATAGATGGCACAACTTTGAGATGAAAGATTGTTGGAAAAAAGGATATTCACACAATCTCAAAGTATTACTCCAGAAGACATTAATTACAAAGGAGAAAGGTTTCGGTATAGTAGAGAAATCTTCTGGGCACTCACTTAAACCAAATAAGCAAATTTAGCATCCCTGATAGTGGGCCAAATTGATATCATGTGGCTCCTGATATGAGGTACTGAAAAGAGTATGGCACCTTCATAAATATGTAATATTTCTGCCAGTAAGGTTTAAGCTTATTTGGAGAAAAAAATCAGCCAAATCCAAATTGAGGGACATTATACAAAACATGATAAGAAACGCTTAGATATTTCAAGAACATTAATGTCATAAAAGACGTAAAAAGGGGGCTGGGAACTCTTCTAGATTGATGGAGACTAAAGAGACATGACGAGGTGCGTGGCATGCATGATCCTTGAATTTTTTTTTTAATCTAGAGAAACTTTATAGAGTATTACTGGGACAGTTAAGGAAATTTGTGGACTAATGTTAGGTAATAGTAATATATCAGTGTTAAATTTCTCAAGTTTAATAATTTTATCTGGTTAATATGAGAATACTTTTGTTCTTAAAAGATAGAATTTTAGGTATTTAGGGATGAAGTATCATGTCTGCAATTTTCAAATGTATCAGGAAAAAAAGTGTGTGTGTGTGTGTGTGTGTGTATGGCAAAATGCAAAACAAATATAAAATATAAAATGCAAACCAAATATAAAATATTTATATATATTTATATATTATATGTATAAAATTGAACCAAAAAACGGTTGTCTAGGGCAAGAATATAGCAATGTTCATTGTACTTTTCTTACAATGTTTATAAAGGTTTGAACTTTTTCAAAACAAAATTGGAGAAAAGTTTAAGGTAAAATTTAAAAATAAAATAACAGGGACGCCTTGGTGGCTCAGTTGGTTAAGCATCTGCCTTCAGCTCAGGTCATAACTGCAGGGTCCTGGGATCTAGTTCCGAATCCGGCTCCCTGCTCATCGCTAAGTCTGCTTCTCCCTCTGCCTGTCGCTCTCCCTACTAATGTTCTCTCTCTCTGTCTCTGACAAATAAATAAAATCTTTAAAAATAAATAAATATAAAAATAAAATAACGTTTGTCATGTCTTCTTACTGCTTTAGGTGAAATCCTTAACCCTGTTTGTCACCCATTATCCACCAGTTTGTGAATTAGAAAAAAGTTACTTGCAACAGGTGGGAAATTATCACATGGGATTCTTGATCACTGAGGATGAAAGCAAAGAGGATTCAGGTATGAAATATACTTGCAGTAAGTACAACGGGAATGTTGTTGGTTTTCGTGTTTGATAACTCAAGATTTATGAATACGTGAACTTATTGCTTATTAAAAATAAAAGCTGTGAATGTTGATTATAAATGACATTTGTCCAAGTTCATTTTCTCCAAGCTTAGGTCAAGTAGAATTTACGTTTATCTTTGCCATCTATGAGCACTTTTCTGGTCTTTGTCTACCTCATTTTTCTATAAGAAGGAGATGGAGTCAGGGGTGCCGTGTAGGTTTTACTCTTAGATTGGTCTCAGGAAAGGTGCCCGAACAGTCAAGTATATTAGTCATCTTTAAAAATGTCTCATCCCCAGTATTCTATACTGAACATATGTTTTATCTTAACTTGACAAGGGAACTGAATGTCAGGTCAAGTGGCTTGCCCACGTGGCCACCTGGGTAGGGGTTGAACTAAGCCTAGCATCCTAGAATCTGCTTGCAGGTTCTTTCCTGCTCTGCTAAAAGAGGTATGTGGGATCTACACTATTTTTCCTAGCCTTCCCATCCTGGACCACTGTCACAGGAATGAGATGTTTCATGAAAAAGAACATCATTAGCCAACAGAAATAAATTCAAGTGCTCTAAGTAATTCAGTTTCAGTATAATCTTATTTTCCTGTTCAGTAGTAATTTTTTTAAGCTCCCAGCCTGTGGGCCAGTGGTGGTTTACACAGTTGGTTTGTTACAATGGAAAATCCATTACCCAAGACACTCTAGGGTCCAAATTTTATTTTGGAAAAGTAATAAAGATGGACCTGAAAAAGAAATCAGGCAGCTGGCCCAAATAAAACAAAGCCCTGGACTTGAGCTAAATGTAATGTTAGGCAATCCTTACCTTTCGCCACCATGCAATCTTGAAAAACACATCATAAATTCTCTCATGGAAGCAGTTTCATGTCTATTAATCTGCATCCAAAGTGACAGGAGGAGCTTATAAGCTAAAACCCAGTGGGATAAACAAGAGTTCACCAGCAGGGAAGGGTCAGTGATAAGCCTTTATGTGAACTGACTACCAACCTGTAAGTGTTCTGGCATTTTATTTTATTAATTGAAATTTAAATTCATGAACCTAATTTTAAACATGAAATGATGCTGAAAGGCACATGCTAATGGGCAGTAAACCCCTGCCTCTGTCCGTTCCCTCCATGCCCTCTCCCCGTCCAGTCCCAAGGCAGCCACTTTCACCTTCTTCATTGCTCTTTCCGAATCTCTAAATCATACACTTATCTGCCCATCTCCTGCTTCATCATCTGGACACATTACTGTTCGGGCTTCTCATTGTGCTGGATGGGAGTCCTCAGCCTTTCCTGCTCTGACCTCCCAGGGTACTCATTCCAGGTTCTTTCTGCCTCATTCCTCTTCAGAGTTATCACTGTTATTGCCAGGAAGTATTGCTTAATCATGAGCCAGGTATGAGGACAAGTGCATTTTTGTTCTTATGCAACTTTTTTGCTTTTTGTGTTTTTGAAGGCAGTAATTGCCTTGTTTTCGTTCCATTCTTCTCTTTGAGTCTATATCTGACTCTTCCTGTACCTGCCAGTAGCTTTATAAAATGCCTCTCTAGACATTTTTCTATGTGATTGAACTGCTGGTTCCACTTCTCCTCGCCGGAGTCATTCCCCCTGGAGCCCTTTGTCCTGCTCCTCTGCGCTGGTTGCTCCCTAGGCCTGCTGCACAGCTGTTGTCCCGACACCTGCGTTCACCAGCACACTAGGACTTCTCTCATCCCGCCTTCTGTGCATTTGCTTGCAGGTAACAGGATCCTGGAATTCACAGGGGCTCCAACAGTAAGAGTAGAAATAATCTCACATTACAGGGACCTCGGAGGAAGAGTGGGCTTTAGCTCTTCTTTACAGTTCCCCAGGCTCCGTCTTCCAGCCTTGCTTGCTTCGTCATCAGACAGGGTAGCCGAGGCTCTTTCGTGCCTTAAAGCCAGAATCAACAAATATCCAAAGGAAGAATAGGGACCAGCGTTTCTTGGGACTCTTTCTTAGGAGCCAGGGAGCTCTCCTCAGATGTTCACTAACATCTCATCATTGTCGCCTCTCCTTTTCAGAGTTGAATCACATGCTCACCCTTAAACCAATGGCTAGAAAGCGACAATGACAGGGGTAGCTTGGATCAGCCTAGATTAATCAGGATCAACTTTCGGAGCTTGGCATGAGGACATTATCCCCTCAGTTAAATAAATGGTCAGTGAGTTATTTCCATATAAAATCAGGGTTTTCTTAGGGTTGGAAAAGATTTTGGATAGGCTACTAATAATATCAGCTAAAGGAGTGAAAAGTTTTGAGATTTTGCAGGAATGAAAAGTCTCTAGTACACCTTCATACTTCATTTATCATTTCCCTAGGGCTGGAATTTTAGGTTGAAAATAATTTTCACTCAGAATTTTGAAGTATTGGTGCATTGCCTGCTTACCTCCAGTGTTTTTCCAGCTACATCTGTGTTTCATCCATTACCTCTAACCTAGCTCCTCTGCTGTCTGAATTAGAGGCCCCTGCGTAGGTCATCGCTCAAGCACCCCAAAGACCATTTGGGTGGCTTTGAAGATACGCTGTTATTTCTCGTGGCGAGGTAGATAAAGCAGCGGACCTGCAGTAAGAAACATGTACTTTAATCTATTCCAGTCTATAAAATCTTGGACAGGTTACCTCACCTCGTCCACCTCTAAAAATGTTATGAATCAGTCCCAAAAGTGACTTCAGACACTATTTGATCAACACACATATTTCTTTAATAACTGCCCACAGAAGTTTGGCTTTCAAACAAATTTTGCTAAGTTCCCCTGTGACCAGCAGAAACATGAATTATTACTTTCTCTGACTCTAAGCAGTATCAGATAAATTTTTCAGTAATACCCATCTAGAAATGGTTATAGCTTATAAGTGAAGTCCTCACCAAGAGCTCTTATTTACCATCTTCTCTCCTCGCTGGCTGTCTGCTGCCACAGTTGCATCACACACACACTCACGCTCTCTCCCCTTCTCCCCTTTGAGAGGAGTGAAGGACAGTCCTGATGTAGAACATAACTCTAAAAACTCTGTAATGTGAGGGGGTGCCTGGGTGGCTCAGTCAGTTGAGTGTCCAACTCTTGGTTTCGGCTCAGGTCACGATCTCATGGGTGGTGGGATTGAGCCCCCTGTCAGGCTTTGCACTTGGTGGTGAGTCTGGTTGAGATTCTTTCTCTCCCTCGGTCCATTAATGCTCATGCTCACACTCTCTCTTTCTCAAGTAAATAAATAAATCTTAAAAAAAAACAAAACAAAACCCTAATGTGATTATGGAAGAGTAGTCTCATTATTTACCTTGATGGTGTGAGAACTACCAAAATTAGTACTACAGTGGAGACTAGGATGTGATGAGAAATTGAGCAGCTGTTTGTACTGAGGTATGTTAAATTATTTAGAACAACATAGTATTTTATATTATATAGCTATAAAATATAGGAATATTATAGCTATATTATATAAAAAGCATAGTATAGCTATGTATATGTATACATACTATATGTTATATATATAAAGCAAAAAAAAAAAAATGCCATCAGCAAAGCAAATTTTAAAAACTAAGGGGGTTTTATGTGGCATTAGTGGGCTTCCAGAAAAGAATAGAAGAGTGGATGGCTGGAGGGATGACAAATGGACAGACAGATGAATGATTTTGGTTTTTTTTTTTGTTTTTTTTTGTTTTTTGTTTTTTTTTTTTTTAGAAAACTGGCATGGAGGTTAGATTATAGAGGAGAGGAGAGGCTGGACATAGGTACATCAGTTAGAACCAAGCCAGTTGAAGTGATAAAGACTGTTTTTTTGTCTTAAGGATGAGAAGAATTTACCCTTTGGATTGCCTACTGCTGTTCACTTCACTTTTGGTCATGTGAGCATCAGTGAGTAACAAAAAATTACCCAGGTTAGCAGGCACTGATTTCTCCACGTTTCTTTCCTAGTCTCCTTCCACCCACCTCCTCACCTGTTCTTTATGTTCTTCAAGTTTTATTTGGAGGCAAAAGGTATTCTTAGTGCTTTGTAATGTGAGTTTTAGTCTGTATTCCTGAGAGTGCCAGCATTCTTTCCACCTCCCACTTCCAGCATCCAGCCTTAGAAAGGTTTTATTTGCTGCTGAATTCTTAGAAGAGGTTAAAGAAAATTCCATTATCCTTGTTCTCAGTTATGCTTTTTAGTTTTTAGCTGATAAAAGAGTAAACCCATTTATCATACACATTTATGAAATGACATGAGAAAAAGCTCTTGATAAAATTATAATATGTTTATTGGGATCTCGGAAATTCTTTTTATAAAGATTTTATTTATTTATTTGACAGACACAGGGAGAGAGGGAACACAAGCAGGGGGTAGAGGCAGAGGGAGAAGCAGGCTACCTGCCAAGCAGAGAGCCCGATGTAGGGCTCGATCCCAGGACCCTGGGATCATGACCGGAGCCAAAGGCAGATGCTTAACGACTGAACCACCCAGGGGCCCCAGGATCTCAGAAATTATTAAAAATCTGGTTCATTTTGGGCATTTTTACAACTCTATGTAATTAGATTGAGTTTCATAATAAAAGCTGCATAATCCTGAGATGCGTGAGATTTATCAAAGATTAAACAGTATGCAAGCTTTGTCTTTCTGTTATTGTACTTCATTATATCCCAATTCTTTGGAAGTTTTTAGTTTCTGTGTATGTATTTGTGTGGTAGCAGAGTCTGAGATTTTTGTGGCAGGTGTTGGCTGGGAGTGCTCTCATGATCAACACCTGAGGGCAGGCCTGTTCCGATGGGGCTGTGTTGTGGTCATCCGGCTTCAGCCAGTCCTACCAAGAGCTCTGAGATGGGATTGGTCTTTCAGAGTTGACTCAGTTTGAGGTGAGGGGGCCTGGCCTTTAATACCCTTTATTAGTTAGCTATTGTTGCATAGCAGATTACTCCCAAACATAGCTTAAAACAGCAAACATTGATCATCTTACCATTTCTCTGCATCAGGAAACCAAGGGCAGCTTAGATGGCCACATCTACCTCACAATTTCTCCCAAGGCTACAGTCAACATTGTCTAGGTCTGTCATCACTTCACAGTTTCACTGGAGGAATTTACTTCCCAGACCTCTTACATGGGTGCTGGCAAGCTTTAGAGTTCCAAGTTCCAAGTTCACTCGTGTGGCCGTTAGCCAGAGACATCAGTTTCTTTTCTTTTCTTTTTTTTTTTTTTAAGATTTTATTTATTTATTTATTTGACAGACAGAGATCACAAGTAGACAGAGAGGCAAGCAGAGCGGGAGGAGAAAGCAGGCTCCCCGCTGAGCAGAGAGCCCGATGCGGGGCTCGATCCCAGGACCCCGGGATCATAGACCTGAGCTGAAGGCAGAGGCTTTAACCCACTGAGCCACCCAGGCACCCCGAGACATAAGTTTCTTTCCATGTGGGCTTCTTCATAAGGCAGCCCACAATATGGCAGCTGGCTTCCCTCAGAACAAGTAAGCAAGAAAATGAATGCCCAGGACAGAAGCCACAGTGTTTTGCAGTCTAATCTCAGAAGTGACAACACATCATTCTTGCCATATTTTATTTGTTAGAAGCAAGTCAGTGGGTCCTGCCTCACTCAGCGGCAGAGAATGATAGAAGGGCATGAACACCAGGAGGCAGGGATTTTTAGTTGCCATCTTAGAAGCTGCCTACCAACTCCCATAGCAACCAGTCATGGTGCAGGCTGCCCAAGACAGGACATGACCTCAGATGAAGCAGTTCTCTTCTTAAGCTGAGGTGACTCCCAAAGAGGGGATATAGCTGTGGATTGTGGACTGACAACCTTCCTGAGAGCTGAGGCAATAAACCCTTTAGTCCTCAGGGGGAGCTGGGTGGAACTGAACTGTGTCCACTTGAATATATATAACTCTCAGTTAACCCAGTACATTTAGTAAACCAGAATTTCTCAGTCTTGTTATTTAAACTGCACCATGTTGTATTTCCTTATGCGTTTTTTGCTGTTGTTTTGTTTTTAGCATTCTTAGAAATATCTCTTACATGTGTTACTTTACAGAGTGTGTTGCATACAAGACTGCTCAGTGAGCACATTCACTGAAATAACACTTTCTTGGTCTGTTTTTACAGGAAAAATTGTACTGTGTATCAGAATCATTTCCCTTCTGATAATAGCAGTTCAGTTGAAATTTTTTAGGAAGAAGCATAAAACAAATCTTTTCCTTACACCAAGTCATTTTTAAAAACTTGTATGTCAGGCGGGGTGGGGTTGGTACATGACTGGCTCAGTCATTGGAGCATGTGACTCTTGATCTCAGGGTTGTAAGTTTGAACCCCATGCTGGGTGTAGAGATTACTTAAAAACAAAATCTTACTAAAAAAAAAAAAAACCCTTTAGGTGAACTATAAGGTCCTAAATGCAAGAGAATCTTCAAAACAGTATTTCCCCTTTTCCTAAATATGTATAATTGATAAATGGAGCTGAGAGTGATTAGGAACAATGGGTTTCTTTTTCAGATTGTAAGTTTTAATTGAGTGAAGTTGTAAGAATTTATAGATTTTATTTAATCTTCTGCTTTGAACTTTCAGGCATGGTTTCCTTTATCTCCTCTTTTTTATTTATTTATTTATTTTTTATTTTGTAGGTGAAGAGCAAGTTCCTGATTTTGTCACTTTTCTTTATCAAATAACCAGAGGAATTGCAGCAAGGAGTTACGGACTAAATGTGGCTAAACTAGCAGATGTTCCTGGAGAAATTTTAAAGAAAGCAGCTAGCAAGTCAAAAGAGTTAGAAGGATTAGTAAATATGAAGAGGTCAGAATGATTGTGTGGCATTTTTTTACTTATAATGAAAACTTCCAAGTTGTCCAATGAAGTGGAATGTCCTGTAAATGAACGTTAGGTTTACCTTTAAGCATTTCTTCAAATATTCTGAAACATTTAATTAAAATAAAATGAAAACAGATCTTTGAAAAGCTCATGTGAATTCAGTCCGCCTTCTTTACTCAGATCTTTATCTGTTGAGTTGCTAAATTGGTTTTAAAGTCATTTTTCTAAAGAACTAAGTTAACTCCTTACTGTGTGCCAACACATTGGTTGCTTAAAGCATTCAATTATACAACAAATGACTAAAAGAAACCATGACATTTAAAACCTTTAGAGTACTTCCTTTATCCATATACTGCATTCAGAAAGTAAGAATTCTGTCAGGGTATGAATGAAAATAATAGTATTATATAACTATGTAATTATAGTCCATATCCCCATGTCCCTTCTTTTGTGGATTGTTTATGACAAATTTTTCTTTCTAAACTACCTGCAGGGCACCTGGGTAGATCAATTGGCTGGGCATCTGACTCTTGATCTCAGCTCAGGTCTTGATCTCAGGTTTGTGAGTTCAAGATCCATGTTGAGCTCCACACTGGGTGTGGAGTCTATGTTTAAAAAAAATGGAAAACAAAAAACCAGCTTTATTCAGGCATCTGTGTGGCACAGTCAATTAAGCGTCCAACTCTTGGTGTCGGCTCAGGTCATGATATCCAGGTTGTGAGATTGAGCCCCGTGTGGGGCTCTGCACTCAGTGAAGAGTCTGCCTAAAGATTCTCTTTCCCTTTCCTTCTGCCCCTCCCCCCCCCCCTGCTCTGGCTCTCTCTCCTCTTTCTCTCTGAGATGAATAAATATATCTTTAAATTGACTTCTTTTTGTCACTTAGAATGCTTATGTGAATTATGTGAATGCATTCTATCTTTTACCCTTGATATCCAGCCAGTAGGTAGTCAGTATATTAACTGATCTTGATCTGTATCAGAGCTATGCTTTGGAAGAAAGATACTCCCAAGAAAAATATTATAGTAAAAAATAATAAGTTACAGCCTTTTCCCCCCAAATACAAGATTATATGATAAAAGGACATAACCTCCTCATCCATCCCCTGCCCCACTCCTGTGCTACCTGGAAAGTGGGATATGCTTAGGGCAAGATATTACTGCCCTGGTTGATAACTTTGTGACTGCGAGGGAACAGATCTTTGGTCAAATAGAAAATTTTGGCTGGTGACCACACTACAGGAAAAATTTTTAGTCCTGCAAATCGTTACCAAATTTAAATATTGAAATAGCAATACCTAATATTAATTAAACAATTACCAACTTGTATACTGAAGTACAGTACTGCAAACAACTTCTCCATTTCTTTCCTCTTGTGGTTCTGCCTTGCCACTCTGTAGTGTGCAGGGGTAAATGATGGTTGACCAAATCCAAAGTGCTGGATTCTGGCATGATGTGTGGCTTCCTCTGTTGGCATTCTCTTTTGGATCCTTTCCACAATACCAGGTTAGAAAAGTAGTTATTTATTATGAGAGTTCAAAGATGAGCCCTTACTTCTCTGCACAAGTCCAAAGACAAATCCTCTTTTGTTATCTTACTATTATTTTTCTTCTTCCCTAGAGAAACTAGAATAAAACTTTACTACAAAGGGATATATATATATATATATATATATATATATATATATATGAGATGGCAGTAAAATATGGTAGTTTATACTTACTTCTGCTATACAGCAAGAGCAATAAAATTCACAGGTTATAATGTTTTAACTCTTCCAACTACTGTGTGACATTTTGAAATCTATAATCTTGACAAGATAGAATTGTCAAAAGAGGTTGCATTGGGGTAGAAACTGATCATTTACTCAGACACTATATTCATTATTTTTACCCTTTGACTTAAAGTGCTCATCACATCAGTTCCATTGGCGAGATCAAAGAAACCAAGGGGAATCTTGTACATTTCTGTGGGTTTATGATAACAGCTAGTATTTATCGAATGCTTACTGTGTACAGAAACAAGTCTACACAGTCATTTGCAGCAGCCCAGACAGACAGGCACCAGTTACTAGTGTTACTGCTTTACCTGCACTACCTCAGTCCTTATGACAGCCTTGTGAGGTACAGGTACTGGCATTATCCCCATATTGTAGTTGTGGAAAATGAGGCCAAGCGAGGGTTGGAAATCGACCAGGAAGTCAGGGTCCCATACCTAGTCAGTGGTGGAGCAATAACTGGAATTCACCCTGGCTCCAGAACCTAAATATTTAACTGGTTGGTCTATGTTATGCTGGCATTCTGCTCTTTCATTAGCTAGCTTTGCTATATTAAATCAGCTTTACTTTTCATCCTGTGAGCGCACTTAGCCTCTGGTCTGAGTTAGAAGGGTAAGAAGCTGGGGTCTCCCCTCCTTGGAGGTAGTAGTGGCAATCAGCAGCCTCAGTCCTTGATTATAACAGTGTCACCAGAAGGCTGATGCTGACACAACTTCCTAACCACAGAGCCCTGTCTGCTGTTCTAAGTCATAGACCCTTTTTTTTTTTTTTTAAGATTTATTTATTTGAGAGAGAGAGCACGCAAACAGGAGGAGCAGAGGGAGAGAACGTCTCAAGCAGACTCTGTACCTAGCATGGAGCCCAACATGGGACTCGATCTCACAACCCCGAGGATCATGACCCAAGTCAAAACCAAGAGTCAAATGCTTGACCACCTGCACCACCCAGGCACACCTGTCTTAGACCTTTTATAGCTGTCAGTGAAATGTATTGTACCCCGATAATTCCATTTATAAAATAAATCATATTTTATTTTCTCTCCAGGAAAAAGCTAAAGTATTTTGCAAAGTTATGGATGATAAATGATGCAAAAGACCTGCAAAAATGGAGAGACGAGTTTGAAATGGAAGAAATTCCAGACTTCTCTTCTTGATGAAAACGAAGACTACATTTTTGGACAAAACATGGAGAATTAAAAATACCATCTGTACAAAAAACTCTCCAGTAACAGCCTATCTTTGTGTGATGTGAGCGTAAAATCAGAACTCTGGTATATTCCCATGGGAAACAGGCCTTTTGTGTAGAAAGTCTGTTCCAGGTTCTTGTCATCCTGACTTAGAAAAGTATAAACAGTTTTGAATATTAAGACTTCTGTTACATAATTTAAAAACTTCATGAATAGTAAACTTCACATAAAATTGATCACCTAAATGAAGCCTAACATGAACCTTTAGAGAGTGATAGGAAAATTTAATTCATATTTTTATTTGTTCCAGTTCAGATTAATTTGCAACGGGGTGAGACATCTAGCAGAAATAAACCTTTTCGCTTGAACTAAAGTAACTTTATGCCACCAGTTTATTCACTGTGAGCATAAGAATTTTTTATGAGAAATAGGAAAAGATTATCAAACTTTTAGAAAGTAGAGCATGGAAGGAATAAGATCGTATGAAATTTGAAAATTAAATACTCTCACAGTTTTACGCAATTTAAAAATTATGGAATGAAATTATTTGTCATTCATTCAGGTAATAAACATTTAATGAGTACTTGCTATAAATAATGATTTTTTTTCTTGTTGGATTTTGGATTTTTTCTTCTATCTGGCAATTGCTACTTTTTTAGGTTTAATTGTGGAACCAAGGTTGCTGCTTCTACCAAATGAGTCCTGAGCTCATTTATTTTGGATCTTTTGTTAATTGGTATAGAAAGCATATGATCTCATATTGAAATATGTAGCTTTGTTGATAGTTAACAATGCTCCCTCCCTGCGTGTTTAGGTTGACACACGTTCATCTGTGTCCTTGAGGTTTTTAACAGCACTTACACCCCAGCTTCTCACAGCCGTATGGTGGCGGTGGTGAATCTGGGATCTTGGGCAAAGGCTCTCCCTCCTATTTTACACCCAGCTGTTATCCCTATTCATTAAATGTCTTCTCCACATTTGATGGACGTATTTCAAACTCTTTCTTTAGTTTATTTCCTCTAATGGTCCTAACAGTGGCCCCTGGACACGGGAGTCCATATAATTTCCCTAAGCTGAAGGGTGGTTGGTTGCTGTACTTTTGATCACTCACACTGTAGCCCTTTGACTCCTAGCCTTTTTGAAGTTAAGAGTACCACTTGACTGATTGCATGGTCCCTTCAGAAGTATTAACACAGGGAAATCCTCAAGAATTTCTCAAAAGAATTTGCTATTGGGAAGTAGAATCTAAATTTTAAAAAGAACAATACTCTTTAAATAGTGCTTTAATACTCTGTATGATTATAAATGTTTTTATATTCTTTCTAACAAGATTTTGGAGGTAGTGCTGTAACTTTAATGCAGGCCAGCAGGAAAAGGAGATGCATCCAGGAATGTCATGCCCATGCCTGAGGGAGCTTCAGGGACCGGCCGTCACAGGTCATGTCCAAGTGCACACTTGGGCCATCTCTGACTTGGGCAGGCCAGCGTCAACATTTAAGCAGGTATGGGCTCCAGGAGCAGTGTGCCCAGGCAGTGGCAATACACAGTATCTGCAAGTGACAATGTGGGCTATTACAAGGTAGATTCTTTAACATGAGGCAGGGTATCAGCCAGCCAGTGTGCAAGAGGTCAGGCCTGGTTAGGAAAAGACCAGCACTGCGGAACTGCATTTCCAAGCAAGGCCCCTTCCTGGCCAGGTAGCTGAGATGTTGAAGGGAACGCTGGGGCAGAGTCCCAGTTAGGAAGAGGGCACAAAGGCCATGAAGATTGGCAGGAAAAATGCAGTTGGTTGGGTACATACTGCAGATAACCAAACTGAGGGGTGCAATTTTAATGTCTTCTAGATAACAAATTTCATTTCCTTTTGATAGATAGCCAGAAGTAGAATTGCTGGATCACATGGTAGTTCTGTTTTAAAATTTTTATTAAATTTTATTTATTTATTTGAGAGAGAGACAGGGTGAGAGAGCATGAGAGGGGAGGTCAGAGGGAGAAGCAGACTGCCCATGGAGCTGGGAGCCTGATGTGGGACTTGATCCCAGGACCCTGAGATCATGACCTGAGCTGAAGGCAGCCACTTAACCAACTGAGCCCCCCAGGCACCCCTGTTTTTAATTTTTTGAGGAACTTCCATACTGTTTTGCATAATGGCTGTACTAATCTATATTCCTACCAGTAGTGCACAAGAGTTCGCGTTCTCTCTGTCCTCACCAACACTCGTATTGCTTGGCTTTTCGATAACAACCATTCTAGCAGGTGTGAAGTGATATCTTATTGTGGTTTTGATTTGCATTTCCCTGATGATTACAGTCAGCTTTAGAACATTATCATTACTCTAAAAAAGAAACATGTACTCATTAGCAGTCTCTCTTCATTCCTCCCCCAAATCCCTAGTCCTAGACAGCCATTAATCTGCTTTCTGTCGCTGTAGATTTTCCTATTTTGGACGTTTCATATGAATGGAGTCATTACAATATATGGTCTTTTGTATCTGGCTTCTTTGATTTAGCATTTTGTTTTCAAGGTTCATTCATGTGGTGGCAGGTAATGGCGCTTCATTCTTTTTTACTATTGCAAACTACTCTGCTTTATGTACTTCATTTTATTTATCAGTTCATGAGCTGATGCACATTTGGGTTGTTCCCATTTCTTGGCTTTTATGAGTAATTCTGCTGTGAATTTTTATGTGACAAGACACATGGTTGTTTTTTTAAAGCTCCCCTAATAATTCTAACGTGCAGTCAGGTTTGTAAGCCACTATTCTCAATGACGACAAATGGCTAAGCTATTTCTCATTGGATTGACAATTATTTGCTCCATCTCTCCTCTGCTTTATCTGTCACATAGGAGAAAGTATGCCACACTAGAGCTACCCCCCCACCAATACTTGTTTGTTGAAAAAGAAAAGAAAACCCAAACCCTTTCAGATTAAAAACTCAAGGAAAAAACCCTTCTTATAATCAAGATACCATTTCTCTAGGGAGTCAAGATCCATATGAAATTATGCTACATCTTAAAATATTAATAAATAAATAAATCTTAAAAAAATCTATTATGACAGTTTATTCAAGTTTGAACCTGTTGTCATGGTTGGAGTGGTAACGGGGCTGGTGAAACAATGCCTGCTGAACGAATTCCAGAGTAAAGGATAGATTGAAATCCAGTGTAGTACACAAATTAATGTTGACCTTTACTGGGTTCCAAAATCAATATTAATTACTGCTGGGCTATGTAATTATAAAAGTGCTATTTGGTGCTCTCAACCAAGGATGCGGAGAGAGAGAGAAAGAAACTTGAATTAATGCCATCTGTGTTTTCTAACTTTATAATTAAGGTCAGTTCCTCTTTGGACCATTGTAAGTTAGTATATATGATTATTGTTAGATTTATTATGTCCTGAGAACTATTACCATTAGGGGAATATCCTTTCTGGTTTAGTTGGGACAGTCTTGGTCTATACCAGTTTTCCTGGCATAGTTTTTGTGTGTGTGTTTTGATTTTTTTTTTAAAGATTTTATTTATTTATTTGCCAAAGAGAGAGCGCAAGCAGAGAGAGAAGTAGGACTCCCCACTGAGCAAGAAGCCCGACACGGGACTCAATCCCAGGACCCTGGGATCATGACCCAAGCCGAAGGCAGTCGCTTAACTGACTGAGCCACCCAGCCATCCCACCTGGAATAGTTATTAAAAGTCTCTTTCACTCACAAATGTCCCATTTTAGATAATACATTATATGATTACCCAGTTATAGATTCTACTTCATAGGCAAACTTTACCCACTTGATAGATTTTAAATATCATCTTAAAAAATTCATTTTTTTCTTAGGCAGTCATTGCATGAACTGATTTTTATATCAAAGACCCACCAGTTGTTTTTTCTGTTTGCAATAAATGCTTTCTATTGTGGCTTTTAGAAAATATGACTCTCTGCTAATTGGCTTATTACAGCTTTATTCCATAATCTATTTTAGAAAGAGAGAGAGGGTGAGCGGGCAGAGGGGCAGAGGGAGCAAGGGAGGGGAAGCAGACTCTCTGTGTGAAGCCCGAGGCAGAACTTTGTCTCCTGACCCCAAGATCAACAGTCAGACATTTAACCAACTGAGCCACCCAGGCACCCTCCCCCAGTCTACTTTTGTGACTACATTCCTGAAGGTTACTTGTCATCTGCCTTGTTTCAATGAAATTGTGGTGAAGAATGTGCATCAACACAACTTCATAAGACACACAGCAAGGCTGTCTTCTTGCAGAAATAATTATTGAGCTTGGAAGGCAGAATCCTTTCTTGGGTTGTTTTGTCCTTTGCTCAAATCCTCCCTTCATTGCCTTTGACTATATCCTCTTTTTCTCTTTTTTCTTTTCTTTTTTTCTTGTCTTTTCTTTTTCTTTTTTCTTTCTTTTCTTTTTTGGACATTCAGAACAGTTTATTTCTACATCAGAAATAATGCACGCCATTTTTATCTCCTTTTTATTAAACCCTACTTCCCTGAATCTTCCTCACTGGGTTGGGCAGTTGCTTCCCTTCATCAGAACCACCTAAAGAGTTTTTCAAAGACGTATTTCCGGGCACCACTCTCACTGTACTGAACCGGAATCTTTAAGGTTGGGACATGAAAATGTCAGTGAGTGTTCATTTCTGTCCTCATTTCTTCTCCATTTTCTCTCCCCTTGACCTTTCTCACCACTCCCACCATGTTAGTAATCTTGTCTCCAGAGCCATTTGCTAAAAATCATATTCCTTAGATCTTCACCCCTTTACGAGATTGTGTCTGACTCTGTAGGTCTGGCTCGGGGCCCAGGGAACTTTATTATTTGTAAACTAGACTTTATTTTTTAGAACAGTTTTAGGCCTCACAGCAAAGTTGAGCAGAAGGTACAGAGACCCTCTGTAGTCTCTGCCCCGCCCCCGAGCACTGCCTCCTCTGTGGTCAGCATCCTTCGCCAGAGTCATGTATTTGTTATAACTGATGACCCTACATTGGCATTTCATTTTCACCTAAAGCGTATCGTGTATACATTCGGCTTCATTCTTGGTGCTGTACACTCTGTGGGTTTGGACAAACGCATAATGGCATGTATCTACCGTTGCAGTATCATCCAGAATAGTTTCACTGCCCAGAACGTCCTCTGTAGTCGTCCTGTTTAACCCTTCCTCTCCTCTAACCACAAGCAACCACTGATCCTTTTACTCTCTCTCTAATTTTGCCTTTCCCAGAGCATTACAAACTTGAGATCGTACAGCCTTTACAGATGGCCTTCTCTCACTTAGTAATACGTATTTACGTTTCTTCCATGTTTTTCACAGCTTGACAGCTCATTTCCTTTTAGCACCAAATAATATCCCATTATCTGGGGGGGTGTGCCACAGTTTATTCA